CCCCCCCCTCCTCCTCCTCCTCCTCCTCCTCCTCCCGGTCGCTGTGTCCATCACCTTCTTCTTCTTCTTCCTCTCCAGCTTCCTCGCCGTCCTCGGTGCTCTCCCGGGGGCGGCCCTTGGTGCAGCACCAGGGGCACACCCTCCGCTCCCGCGCGCAGGGGGCGCAGATCTTGTGGTAGGCGGCGGTGATTGTCTTCTTGTGGCAGTCGTTGCAGGTGGCCGGCTGCCTCAGGGGGCGGTACTTTCGGTACCGCTTTCTCCACTCCACCTGTTGTTGTGGAGTGTTGGTTGGGGCAGCAGCAAAGGCGCGATGGAGTTGATTAAGACAGAGCACGGGGTGTAGTACGGACAGAAGAAGGTACTGGGTAGTAGAGAGAGAACGGAACGGTTACTAATGTGTGAAGACAACAACAACAGCAACAACAACAACAACAACGGGGTGTTTGGTTGTTGCTTTTGCTGCCGGTTGCTGCTCACGTTGCTCTGCAGCGTTTCGTTGCCGGTAAATGCTGCTGAGAAAGAAGTTTATAGCGTTGAAAAACATCCACATACATGCCTGCCGGTCGGTGCCTACGCTTTTCTTGTCAAAAGCCGCGTCGTTTCCCATTAACCCCTGGGTTGGTGAGACGGTTTCCCCCTCAAAATCTTGAGGGCGCTCCCCGCGATAAAAAGACGCCCTTCGAATGAAACAAACGAGGTGCGTCTTTGGAGCGGGGCCGATTGCCCAAACACTTCTCGACGTATACCCCATGTGTGCATACGCACGCAACCAGGTATTGCGTCCCCCCAAGACTCGAACAAACTAAAAATAACCAACTGAACACAAACACCCGTTAGTTCTTGCCGCTTGGAAGATCTACCGTGTGCCACAAAACCACGCGTACATTGTGTTCCACAAAACCATGGCAAGGGTTTCAGGCGGATTCGGAGTTTCAACCCAATCATCACCGATCACGGAGAAATACGAGAGGGCCGGTTTCATGACGAGGTGAGGAAGCGGAGCAAGACCTTCGTTGTTGCGTGCCGAACGAGTTTGCCGTGTTTACAACTTTATACAACGGGATTAAAAGTACAATACGGTCGACGGGGGGGTCCAGCAGCGCCCCCTCGCACATGTGTACCTACCACAAAGGCCGAGCAATTCGTGCAACAGACTTAACGCATCCAGGCGAATTTCTCAGAGAGATAGGAAACCACCTACAATACACCAGTATGCATACAATCTTTGCGAGGGAAGGCGCAGCGGCAGTAACGTTACAGCAGTAGTAGGTGGGTGTGCTGGGAGGGTGTTGTCTAACGTCATACGCATAGTGCATGTTCAACCTTTTCCTCGGTACACCAACTCCGGTACAAGTGCCACAACAGTGTCGCCCGTACGGCTGTAGCTTGCGGGTTGACCGGGCTGAATGGGCATGGCAGGTGGGCCGCAAAACAACGGCACTGCAGCTTACGTTTATTCTTCACAAGCACTCTGAGAGAGCTTTGAACAACCACCCAAAATAGCTCAAACATGGGAAGGAAGCGCCCTTACCGATACCCCCCACGCTGCTTGTTTCGAGCCATCGACATGGTCCGGTATATTTCTCTCTCCCTGCCTCTCTTACCCATAAGTTCCTCGCACGCCAGACCGGTAGCCCCCACCGCCGGCACCTATAAACTAATGTAAATAGCTCACCTTGTCATGACAAGAGGCGCAGAGCCCGGCGTTGACGCTAGCAAGGATTTTGGCTGTCTTCTGGGACTTGGGGTTGTGTCGGAAAGCGAAGGTGTTCTGGTGCTTCGGCTTCCTCGTGCGGGTAGCGCCCGCCCCCTTGCGTGTGCTCATGGCTGGTGTCTTCCCTCCGCGCTTTGCTTGTTGGTGTGTGCGCCCGTGTGCCGCCCCCCCTGCGTATGCATCACTCCCTTGGCTAATTACTCTCGGCTCTCCGCGAGCGAGGAGAGCGGCGAAAATCCCCCCGCATCTCCGAACATTTCGGAGATCTCGTTGGACGAAGGGAAACTGCTGCGCTGGCACAGGCTACACACGAGCGACCCAAGCGACCTGAGACAGGGACACAAGCCAAGAGATCGAGCCTTACGTTTGCACAAGAGTATTCCGAGGTAGCTTGAACCCTTTCGAGCGATTGACGGGCGAACATGGTTCAGTTAGCGGCAACGGTGGCCTTGTTTTCCGCCACAGCAGCCTCGGCGTTTGTCGTTCAACCTTCCCGCTGCTGGACTGCACCAACCCAGCAGCACAGAGCACCACCGCGGCCGGCAGCGGCAGGGCGGGCGTCGTCGTTGTCGTCTATCGCGCCTTCGAAGCTCGCCGCCCGTGCTGCTGTCGTATCCTCCCCGTCGTCGCCGTATTCCTCCTCTCTGGCCATGATGATGATGATGAGCACGGCCGAGGTCGTCGAAGCGTCGGTCGTTGGCGAGGAATTCGAGGTCAAGACTGACCTCCTCAAGCAGATCGACCTGTCCTCCTCCAAGCAGATGAGGTTCGTCCAAATGTGAAGGCTGTTTTGCAGCAGTGCCTTGCGGTCGTATGCTGTAGCAAGGCGGGAAGGAGGTGTAGCACGTGTAGCTGCCGTCCGGCCAGTTTCGACTTTGAAATCTAGGCTGGAACAAATCAGCTGGACAAAATGCTCCAAGTTTCAGCGCACCTTCTTTCGACATTATACACTACTGGTGTGGTTGGATCTCGAACGGGTAGTGTTGTAGTCTTTTTAAAATTTTGTTTCATCTATACGATATGACCCAACGAATTTCTGTGAGGTTATGCTTATTTTCTACGAATGCTCCACCGGACCTATGTAGAATTTCAGCAGCAATATATGTCAACTCTGTGGATCGAATGGATCAGGACATAATGAAGACCTCGGTCGGTCTGTCTGTCTGTCTCTCGCTCACTCTTCTCTCTCTCTCTACCTCTCCATCCCGCCTATCGCTAACACCCCCGCCGCGCTGCGGGTCCTCACGCCGTCTTGGATACGAAATAAGTGTCGCCGACGATTAGACCGCCCCCCCTGTACTTTCGGTGATCGGCCCTGTGGGAATAATGCTCCGTCCTCTCAAGGACGCGTGGTCAATGGTCTAACCCCGCCCCTCCCCGCGTTCATTTTCCGTCACACCGCCCCCCTACAACTTTGCACACAGGACGGAGGTGAACGAGCTGATGCTCAAGCTCGAGCCGATGAACCCCACCGACAAGCCGGCTGCGTCTGCCATCCTCAACGGGGTGTGGGAATTTCTCTACACGGGGGGGTTGAGCCCCGGGACGCTCGCCGTACAGGTGCACGCACGCTTGCTCATGCTGTTGTTGGTGCTGTTGCTGTGTGTCCGACGAAGCATAGCAGTACTCTCCTCCCGGTCGAATCGTGTGCATATATGGGCAAGACTCAGGCACACGTGTATGCATGCATCGGCTCGTCCATTGCAGCAAATGCACACCCGTTACAAACATAGGCAACATTGAGGAGACGCGAACATGTTCGTAGCAGCCTACGTGACTCTACTCCAAGGTGTGAACAGAGGTTGCACGGGTAGACCCAAAACCGGATGAATGAGTCCCCGTTCGATTCTCTACGTGAGAACTTTTTTTCAAACGATTTTTGTTCACGGCGTGGCGGACTTGGCGCTTCCTATTTTGGCCTCATCCGTTAATTCTTGTTGGGACTACTGCTGTAGATTCTTAGCTACAAGAGCTGTCAGACGAGGATAGTAACACTTGAAAACAACCAGCCGACCAAAACGCCTACAAGTCTATGTAAAAGGGTCACAAAGCACTACTGTACCAGGCGAGACCAAAACCCGCACATATCCATCCAGCTCCAACCATCTAGAGCACGCACAATCGGAGAACGTCGTGCACGCGTGTGTCCGACGTGTTCTTGCACAAACGGGGAGAGTTGCGAGCGGGCGGGCCGGGTGTGTGGAGCACTGGGTCGGGCGAGAGCCCAGCCGACAAATGCTCCGGTCGAAAGCCTGTTCTCGCATCGTGACTGCGTCGTCGCTTTCGTTGCTGACCGTTTCGCCTGGCCCCGCTCTCTCTTTGATTGCTGCTGTCATGTGACTTTTCTTGTCCTTGTGTGCTTGAATCTGGTCGTCGTGCCGGGTTCGTGTCGGCACCGTCAGGTTCTTTCGAGGGTGGCCAAGACCTTCTCAGCGGTGGTGGACCTCAAGGGCATCACGCTCACCATCAACAGGGATCAGCCAAGGTGTGGGTGTGGAAGGAGAGCAGGTGGTGGGTAGGCGGCACAGAACGATGGCGAGCAACGCACACCCGCTGGTCATATGCCTCCTGACAAAGAACAGAAACAACAATAAGAGCACCAACCGAAGTGGGAAATGCTGAGGGCACCTGGGGCTTGCACTCCTGTTCGGCGTGCACGTGACTTTTTTGTGTTGTGGTATCTACACGTGCATGATTTGTTTTGTTTGCCGTCTTGGGCGCTTCTTTTGGCTCGCCGAAATAATTGAACCCTTGTGCGAGGTTCGTTTCCCCTTTCCCTTTTCCTTACACGATTCCACCGGTCGCCCACCTCCCTGGTCCCACTCGATTGTCTGGCTTGTCGATGGCTTATCCATGGTGTTGGCGCTGATTTTTCGTCGTCCTACCCCACCCCCTCCATCCCCAACTGTGCTGCTGCTGCTGCTGCTGTTGCCGACACTTGTCAACCACTGCGTGTCGTGGGCGTCTTCGGTCTATCGTTGTCCCGTGTTTTTCGTGCGACACGATGATGATGATGATGATGATGTAATGCCATTTGATGGCAGGGTGGAGGCTGCCGTCAAGGCATCCGTCTTCGGGACCGAGGCCCAGGTTAAGGTGGGTGGTGGCTACAATTGTGTGGCGTTGCTGTTCTTGGGTCGGTTTCCTTTCAGCTACACTCGTGAAACCGCCGTAACATAACAACTACTTCTAGTATTTACTTACGCTTACGGGCTGCAGTGTGCGGCGACACGCCACACGGTAAGCTAGCTAGTAGTGGACTCATGGAGGTTTGATGTTGCTTGTCGGAGCGCTTGCCAGGGGGTTGGCGAAAGCGGCTATCCCCGCGCGTGAGGTTTCTCGAGATTTGGGGTATCTTGCTGCACACACGCATTCTGCTGTTGCAAGCACGCAAATATTCGTGACGTTTGTGCCCGGAAGCTATTAGTCGAGCGCGTTTGCAGGCGTGTTTTTTGTCGTTCTTTTGTGGCGAAAGGATGACCGCTGCCGGAAATCAGACGAGGCACAATGCGGCACACAACTATATAGTGAAGACGGTTTGTTTTAGCTGTCCTTATTCACTCGAAATGCTACCATCCACCTGCGACGACTACGCTGTGTGTGGTAACACGCAATTCCATGATTTTCGACAAAGAACAAGCAGCTTGTGCGTTGTTAGTGTTTTTTTTTTTTCCATCGATCGCTCTAGCCGGCCGACGACCAATCAAAGGACAGGTGTGCGTGTTAGTTTGCGCTTTCGGCTTCCACATGACCGCCTGCTCATCATTTTTGGCCATCCTCGCGGAACGAACGAACAGGTTCGAACAAGGTTGGAGCAGAAGAGCGACATGCGGCTGCAGGAGGTGTACGAGGAGGCAGAAGTGGCGGGGGTCACCATCCCCATCCCTGCCAGGATACAGGTATGTGGTTAGCATCGATCACGATAACCGGCTGACCAACGAAAAGACGTCAGTCTCAGTGCGGTTGAAAACACAAACAATTCTAAATGCCATGAACTGGGACCCCGTGAGGGGGCCGCATAAGGGGAGGCTATGTGTTCGTCCCATCTGTTCTGACGCCGGTTTACGGGCCTTTCGGCGTATATACCTAACGTGTCAGCCGGGGTCACAAAAGAGAAAGGTCACACAAGAGCTTTTTCTTTTTTGTTTTTGTTGTTTTTTTGCCCCATCTTTCCCCCTGCGGTGCTTGCCTTTGTTTTGATCGCGAGAAGGGTTCAGCCATCCCTTTCCCCTCGTCGGCCGTGAAAAGCCGAAGTTTGTTTACTCACGAACTGTATCGCGAGACACGCCTTGGCCGAAGCAGCTTCCGATCGCTTTTGTGTATGTAAATATTTTGTGTGGTGTCTGTAATGAACGTCGATCGTGCCATATGGTGCAGCCGGCTGTGACAAATGCCAGTCTGACAGCGGGAAAATGAACGCCACCTTTAAATCTTGCACCGTGGTTCGTATGTGGGCGCACCGTGGTTCCTGTTTTTCGACCTCGCCTGAAGCTGATTGACCAATGAAAAGAGGCCAGGCTATCAGTGTCAGCTTGCAAGTTCACGGAAAATCGCCTCGTCTCATTGCGTTTGCTGAGAATTCAGAAGCTTTTTCTTTGTCGTTTTCGCCGTCATTCTGCGTGAAAGGTTTTGCGCTCCCCTTTTGGTTGTGCTGCTACATCCGCTGCTGCTGCTGCTGCTGCTGCTGCTGCTGCCTCTCCTGAAACTTCTTCTGCTGTGTGCTTACAGGCATCACGTGGAATATAGCGCGTAGCCCGCTGCCCTCTGTTTCTTCTTCTCCCTCCTCTTGTTTTACCACTTTCATCGCCTTTCCTCGTCCGTCCTCTTTTTGCTCGTGCGCCACTTGTGCCGCCGGCTCTTTTTCCTCGTCCGCTCTTCTTTTTGATCTCGGGGGACGGATATGTATGTGATACCCCGCAACAACACAGCCCCGGAGGACGTTGTACATCACCTACTTGGATGACGACATCATGATCGCGAGAGACGACACCGGTGCACCTGACTTGCTGGTCCGCAAGCAGAAGGTGTGTGTGTGTGTGTGTTGTGTGTGTCTGCGTATGCATGTGTGACCGCGCTTGTCTTCAGTACGACGTCCGGATTTCGTGGCGTTGGCCACGATCCGCAGCTGCTGCCACTCTGGGTGTTCTCAAGGGGGAGGCGGAACAGGTAGATGCTGGCATCATACCTTGGATGGCCGTAGAATTGAACCAATCGCCCCCCCCCCCCCCGAACCGCTCGTTTTCTTCTGCCTAGCCCGTTTGGCGTGTTCACGATGGTGTTTATTTTTTTGTTCTGATACGCTGTTCTTGGCGACGGTTGAGTGCATCCTCTCCCTCCGACTCTCAACAGCAGTACCACGACCAATGTTGCCGTCACCTCTCTCCAGAACCCCGGTATATACTTCCTCGACCCGTCCCGACCTCAACGGTACATATCGTGCCTACACCGCTCCCTCTTTCCTCGTGTCTGTCTGTCTGTCTGTGTATTGCAGGACTTCCGGTTCAACACTGGCACTCCTTCGACGTCGGAGGAGGACGATTCTTCGCCAGGTTCTGGCTAACTAGGCCGGAACGACCCAAGAAGTTTTCCATCCCCCCCCCAAAAAAAAAAAATCGTGCCGCACCACCTACGAAAAAGCGTGTAGATATAAATTGTAAGGCACCCCAACGCTTTTCGTGAGCGGAGCAGGAGTGTGTGTGGTGGGTGGGGCAAGAGGCGCGCGTTGGATTGGTGGCCTCGAGAGAGAGACCGTTCACGTTCAGCGACAGACCTCACGGAGACCACCACCGTTTTGGTTTGTTCTTGCATGCCAACTAACTATTCGCAAATAGCCGCAGCAGAAGTTGTTCGACGGTGAAGGCATGCGCCGCGCTGGACTCCGAATCGTGATGTTCCGGGCGACCATGACGACAAGGATTGACGCTCACACGATGCCTCTTGGTGGCGGGTGGAGCGATCGTTTTCACTGTTCTTGTGTTTTTTTTTCTTGGGCGATATTTGTGTTTTTGTGTCGGGTCACGCTTGTCTCTGTAAGAGAAGGAAGAGAACGAGAGACCGATATGGAGAAAGGACAACGTGCTACCATACACCCACGTGTCCGTATGTACAGCAGTATGTATGGCACTTAAACTCCCGCATTGGGGGAAGAAAAAAAAAAGAGAGAGGAAGGCGACGCACTCTTTGCTTGCGGCGTGTTGGACGTCCTCACGTCATCCCTGCCCGTGGTGCAGTGGTTTGCAGTGGCAGCACTTGATGTTTTCGACGTTACATCGCATGGGATGAAGGCATCAGTCACACCAAACAGGACGGGGGGGTGAAATGGCACCGCAGTAGTATGTGCGTATGGGCAACACCGCGGGGCAACTCGATTCGGCAGTAGACGACACCAGCCAAGACAAAACGCAAGGTCCCCGCACAACCATCTCGTCCAACAATCCACAATCCTTCTGCACAAAGGTACGCTTTTCTCGGGGTAGGGGTGGGTGTTCCGAAATCCGCAACTACAGTTAACGCCCTTTCTCCAGGCGCATCGTCCTGCCCGTCAACAACAGCGCAAACAGGACTCTTCGCAGACACGGCTGCGGGTGTCGCGCGTCGCGTACGCGAGCCAGCATGTACAAGGTTAATACACAAACACATAAACTCTCCCTGGATATCCAAATGACAAGTAAATAATGTTGTTACCACACATACAATCCTACAACAGCACTACTCCCCCCCCTTCCCCCCCCCTGCAGCGGCACTTAGGCATTCGCCCAGTGTGCCCGCGTGAACGCCAACAACGGGGTGTTATCTGTTGATCAAAGCTCACCCCCAAGCCGCCACAGGGCATACGCTGCCAAAGCAACAGTGCCCCCGCACGCGCCCCTGCAAAAACAAACCGCACTGCTACTGCTGCTGTGTAGCAGCGCAGGTAACACTTCACAAAAAAAAACAGTACACACCATGTTCATCCCCCGATAAAAATACCAAGCAGTACAGCACAGGTGGTGTTCCAGATATAGCTGCATGCCATATCGATGTTGTTGCTTGTGCATGATCCACGGAGAGCACCGACGCCTTGCGTCAACGTGGTTCCTTCGCGATACCCGTGGCATTGCGCGGCCAACCCCCGCCCCAGCAACCGCGAGCGATCAATCTTCTGCTGCTGCTGCAGCAGCAGAGAGCCGGAGGACGGGTATCCGGCAGTGCTACTTGGCTGGCTGAGAGCAGCAACCAAAAAGCACCACCCGGACCAAAAAAAAACTCGTTAGGGTTTATACGCGCGTCGTTGATGACGATGGGTGCCGCCGCCGCCATAGCAGTTCCGTGCGCACTCGCACCGCACCAACCAGCAGAGAGGGTAATCGTCAGCTGAGTGTGTCCGGCGCACGAGGGCTCGCTGCAGCACACCGCCGGGTGTCACGCCCTAGCCAATTCTCCCCTCCATCACACGCAATGACCTCGATCCCTGCTGCCATAGCTGCCCCGCGGGTCGATAGCTCCGTCTGCACAAGTCGGGCCTGTAGACCGTTTTACCACTGACCGAAGACACCTTGCGTATTACGGGGGAATGACTACTATTGCTACAACTAGCACAATTGACAAGAAAAAAAAAACAGTAACTACATTGGGGCCGCGAAGGAACAACAAATCCGCTCTTCCAAGCACACAACACAGGGCACCAAAGGTAGTATTGCGTCCCCGTCCAAATATCTCGACGTGCTAAGAAATGCAGAAAGTGCCGAGCTCCCGCAGGCCTTTTTGAGACACGAGCAAGGATCTGCAATAATCGAGCACATACCCCTTGCGCGCAGTTTTGTTGCTCACGTGGCATCTTGCCCGTGAGGTATTTCTTATCAAACACGCCTCTGCGGTACTCGCCGCCTCCGGATGAACCGCGCGGCTAAACCCCAGCATATGGAGCGCGGCGGCAGCAGCAGCAGCAGCAGCAAGAGTTACGCGGGCCCTGTCGGCCCCCCGCCCGCCCGGCGTCTCTGCCACCATGTCAACCACACCCAGAGCAGCACAAGAGCCCCCAACAGCATGCGTGCCCCTCTGGCTGGTTTCCCACGAACCGAAGCCATTGCAGTACTGCTGCAGCACCTATATTTCAGCTTCGCGAGCGCTCCCTCTCTGGGTGCAAAATATCGGATCGCGGCATCGGCCGAACCAAGCGCATATTCCGTAGCATCGACGGAAGAGATAAAGTTCAAGCTTGCGGCGGCGGTCCCCGCTACTATGCCCACACATCCTGGTCGAGGTCCTCCCACGCCACGGGCCACTCCCTCATGAAGAACGGTGATCGCGGAACAGCATCCTGAATTTGTTTTTTTTCGCGCGATTTTCGTGTTTTGAAGGGACAACGGGGAACAGCCACGGGGGCACGTTCTCTGAGAAATGGCGGCAAATAAAGAGACTGTGTGAATGAGGGAGGCGGTGGGGGGGGTGTACTCTGATGTTTTGCATGCCTTAGCGGTCAGACCTTTGACCAGCGTCCTGCGGAGGACGGAGCATTGTTCCCACAGGACCGATCACCGATGGCCAATCGTTCCTACTTTGCCAAAGGTGGCTCAAAAATGTCTTCCCTAGTGTATCTATCCTATCGACATCACTTCCCGGGGGGGGGGGGGGGGGGCTCTCCCTTTTTTTTTTGCCGTAGTCATTTGACCATTGACCACGCGTCCCTTTCGAGACG